AGGGTAGCTACCGGACGACTTGCGAGCACGTCATGCGGGTGTTGAGGAGTAACAAGGAGAGTGTCATGGCTGTGCTTGAAGCTGTAAGTTCTTTCCTCTTCCTATATGCATATCTCTTTACTAACATAACACTACAGTTCATCCACGACCCCCTCCTAACCTGGCGCCTAAACCACCGCGACACCTCCCCCGTCGAACCCAACTACCCCTCCGAGCGCCGCCAATCAATCATGGTCGGCGACCCCAACAACCCTAACGGCAACGACCCCCACCAAATGCCCAGTATCGTCGGTCGACCCCGTCATCGCTCTTCCGTCGCTCCTCCTCAGAATAACGATGTCGATGCCAAGGAAGTGCAGAATGCAAGGGCACTGCAGGTCCTGTCCCGTGTCAAGGAGAAGTTGACAGGTAAGGACTTTGGCAAGGGCGAGGAATTGAGGACGGAGATGCAGGTCGATAGGCTGATCAAGGAGGCGACAAACTTGGAGAACTTGTGTCAGCATTATATTGGTTGGTGTAGTTTCTGGTAGGCTGCTTGCCATACCCTATCGGTCTAAGCGAACGATTGTTTGGTGGGTGGGTGCATGAGTGGCATTAGCATGGTGGAGTTTTGGGACGTGTGCTTTTCATGGGCGAGTTTCGTGTATTAGTATGACTTGTTCAATTCACTGAGCGGCATTGCAGTGGTGCTTTTGGTGTTGGGGAGAGTAGCGAAACGGCTTGTAGTGGGTGACGAGCCTGCTACTATAATGATGATATTACTGATTTTATGAAGATTTCTCAATGTGATCGTGCGTGTACTTTGATCATGTCATGTGGCTTTTGGATTGAGTTTACTGCTGCATACGAGACATCTCACGACATTGTCCTTTGTGGGGGAAACAATCCTGTAGGATTCAGAATACTGGGTTTCGTGCTATCTGAAGTTGACAGGCATTATGGTTCGGGATGCAAAATTGTGAAGATCTGTATTCCAAGAAGAAAAGCATGCATATGCCAGCTATGACGCGTAGAGCATAGTTTCTTTTCTCTTGCCGTGTTTGCCAGTACCGAGGCGGAACGACGGCAGACGGTGAAGAGTATTTTCCCAACTGTATGGTAACGGTGTTCTAGACTAATGTCTGATGAGGATTGAGCGAAAGAGGAAGGCACCGATTATTCTCCGTAGAGACGCAACACAGAGTTTTCGGTTTTTCGGGTGAACCGCTTTATGCGGTGGATGAAGTTGCACAGAGAAAAAGTATCGCATGTTTCGAATCGCATACGCCAAACATAACCAGTCGCTCGAAGATCAACATCACCGTAGGACGTCAGTCACCGCGGTCGAATCTGGGGCCATCAACACGGTAGTCTACCAACAGAGGTCGAAGCCAAGACGCGGATTATGGATATGTCGAAGATACACCCATACGTCATAGCGTTGGGTCGAGAAGAACCAAGTGGGTCAAGGGTCTCCGCGTTCCCTTTTGCGATCGAAGATGCCGTTCGTGCCAGATCTAATCCGCGCACATGACAAGATGAGCGTGTCGTGATGTACTCATCATCCGTATTAACCGCCGTAGTTGCGATATCCTACGCGGAAAATATGATCCTGTAGCAATGCTGGCATAGCGCGGCTTGCGTGGGCCTTGAGTGGTTTGCTCGTGTGCTTGGTTACCGTGCCCGGACAATATCGCATACATCAACATTGGAACATACGAACTTGAGTTGGATTGGGCCTGCATATCTCCTTGTATTGGGCTGTCAGTGTTTTGAATAGACGTTGGGTATCTAGATACGGCCTGGTTCTCGGCCGTGCTGGCCCTGTTCTTACTGTACTGACAGAATCTCCGAGAGTCCACAAGCAGTCCGCTCGCTATCACGAAGATGCTATTCCCGCCAGTGATGGGAGCGACATGGATGTAGACCCTTGTTACGCGATCAAAGACGGTGACGGTAACCTGCAGATAGCAGTCTGAAACTCGAGGGTTTGCTCTTGGATTATGTTCCGAGTTCCCGCTAAACAGAGGCATTTCAAGGGGGCCGGCTAGATAGCCGAGATGGTGTGCCCGCTATGGCCATGACTACGCAACTTTGCTGGCTTCTGGTTTGTTGCGACTGGAAGTGCGGCAGATCGACGGGGTGGGGGCTGGTCAAAAACAGTTGTAGCGGTGCTTCAATGGGAAGGCGTGCAGATACATAGGGTTGGGTATCGCCGAAGTTTTGTTTCAGGTCTTCACTCGAGGTTCTTCTACAGTCTTCTCTTTCTGTTTCGCGTCAAAACAAAGGCTCCGATTAGCTCTGCAGAGGCGACGATAGGACGATAGGAGAGTGACATCATTGGGTCGTTGCTGAACCACAATTTCCAAGACATTCGCTCGCCCCGCGGGCCCGCTTGTACCGCTGCGGCCTGACTTGGCATCATGAGCCGCAACGCTCAGAACCTCCGCTTGCCAACTAATGACAGCTTCCCACCTTTTTCCAACGTTCAGCGGCCCGCATCAAGTTCCTCTACTGCCTCAGTGTCGAGTGCAGAGGAGAGGCTGCAATGGCGCAGTCACCCGAACGTCGCGACGCCGTTTGCGGATCCGTCATTTCAGAACCCGTTCGATGACCCCAACCTCGCATTGGCATCGCCCCTGAGCCGCGATGAACCTGAAGGCCTTGCAAACGATGTCCAGAAGCAGACTCAGCGGGAAGAGGAGGAAGAGGAGTACCATGGGGACGCCAATGAGAGGACTGACACGACTTCTACAGAGAAGACCGACGATTCCGTCCGCCAGAACCCGAGGGCATTGACGGCTGTCACTAGCAGGAGCACAAAACACAGCGCCCGTGGAGCAGACGTGCCGGAAGATAGGAAGACGCTCAGCTTCAAGGAGCGCATACGACATTTTACCTGGACCTGGTTCTGCCTTACCATGGCTACCGGAGGCATTGCTAACGTTCTATACGCCGTGCCTTTCCGCTTCCACGGCCTCTACGCGCTCGGTTGTATCTTCTTCATCTTCAACATAGTCCTGTTTCTGTTCAATGTTGCGATGATTTCTTGCCGATTCTACTTCTACCCACGAACGTTCAAGGCTTCGTTTTTACATCCTACCGAATCGCTCTTCATCCCTGCGGCCGTGGTCAGCTTTGGTATCATCTTGATCAATGTCAGTCAATATGGAGTTGACATGGCTGGGGTGGGAGAGTGGTTGGAGCGATGCATGATTGTGTTGTTTTGGATGGACTGCGGCCTTGCTGTTTGCTTCTCTATTGGCATCTACCTGCTCATGTTCGTTTCTCTAATCAATTCTCCAATGAACGCAATGCTAACAACTCTAGGTGGTCAACCACAACTTTCACCATCTCTCAGATGACGCCCATCTGGATCTTCCCAGCATATCCTTTGCTCATCATCGGACCTCATGCCGGTAACCTCGCACCCAAGGTTGAGGATCCAACAATATCACTCACCATCATCTTGACCGGATATGTCATCCAAGGCATCGGATTCCTTGTGTCGCTCATGATTTACGCTGCCTTCATTTACCGTCTGATGACACAGAAGCTTCCTAAAGAATCCCTCCGCCCGGGTATGTTCATCAGTGTCGGTCCTTCTGGATTCACCATCGCCGGAGTCGTCATGATGGGCCAAGAGCTTCCAAAGACCGTACCCAGCGACTTCATGGGCGAGGGCAATGGCGAGCTCGCTGGCAAAGTCGGCATGATATGTGCAAATTACATGGGCCTCTGGCTCTGGGGTCTAGCACTATGGTTCTTCTTCGTAAGTGTCGGCGCGCATTACTCATGTGCCAGGCGCGGAAAGATGGACTTCGCCATGACATGGTACTCCTTCATCTTCCCTAACACCGCACTCACGACATCCACCTTCGCCATCGCCCGCGCCCTCAACGGCAACAAGCCCATCGAATACATCGGCTGTGCAATGACTATCGCACTCATTTCCATGTGGTTCTTCGTCATCTACATGAACGTTCGCGCTGTCGTCATCCGTCAAATACTGTGGCCAGAGAAGCAAGAGGATAGGACCGAAGGTGGGTGGAAACAACAAAGTGCGGAAGAACAGCAGAGGAGGCAGAGGGAAAGGGAGTTGGCTGATGGTGGGGAGAGTATGAGGGGTAGGGCATGGAGTCGCGCGAGGACATTTACCAGGCGTGAGGGTCAGGGGACAGGTATGCCTACGTTGGAGAGGTCTCAAACTGATGCTGGCGCGCGCAAGAGAGGATGGAGTTTTAGGAGGTAGGAGAAATGAGTTACGCGTATAAAGAAAAGGTGTTACTGGTATTTGTGTAGATTTAGTCGATACCCCTTAGAGCGATATTCTGATTGAGCGTTGGTATTGGTTTTGTTAGCTACATGTATGTTAGTTGTGCTGTCTTATCAACCACAACATTTCACGAAATCTGGTCTCATCCGAAGCATGTAGGCACTTGATACTATAGGGATCTCAGCGGATGCTTTGGAGCCGGTGTTCAATGGCTGGTAATCCATCAACAGCACCCTCCATGCCTGGGCGCTTGCATCCAGCCGAGTCAGCTTGCTAAGCTTCATCGGGTTAAAGCATTGGCGTGGACGAGATGGTGCCGTGGTCCTGCTCGCTCGACGCGTCGCGACTTTTCATGCTGTACAATGCTTCCAAGCGCTCTCAATCTTCTGAACGACAAAATGGAGAAGTCGCGTATGCATGATCGCGTAAGTCTAGTGTGCAAAGATGTCGTCCATCGCGTTAGGTATGTTGAAATACGCCAGACTAGGTACTGGGGCGAAGTCGCAAGGTCCTCCACCGGCAACCAATCACCCCCGTTTTGTGGCGTGGACAAGATAACTTGGCAGCTATGAGCTCAGCCTCCTATCGCAGTCTCGCTGCTACCTAGACTCAAATCATTGTTGCACACTCGAACTTGAGACCTTCTGTGTCCTCTCTCCCATTCCAGAGTCCTCCTTCTTCCATTCCTCATCTTTTCGAGGTTCACTCAGTGGATATCAATCATTGTTACCTAGGTGATACCGCCATGCATAGACAGGCCGCCTACCCATACGTCAACCCGGTTCTCGCTACCAATAGACCCTCGGCTACCTCTGCAGCCGCCTTCTCTGCTTCAGTACATCCCGCTACCACAAGATACTCGGGTACCTCCTCAGACTTCTCTGCTTCGGCAAACCGCAACGATGAACAAACAAGCTCGCAGCTAACGAACACTGAGAGCGGATTAACACAACATTTGAGAATTCTGGTTGGCGACCACCTGGAGCTGGATGGGACCAATGGGCCAGATACCGATTTACTTCCCTACGAGCATATGCAAATGCTAGGTCATGGTGGCACAGCAAGCGTTGAGATGATCCGCGATATCCATACGGGTTCGGTTTACGCACGAAAGGTCGTCAAGAACGTTTATTCACGTAACATGAGAGAAGCCAAGCAAGCGCTTCTCAATGAAGTCAAGATTTTGAAGCGCTTAGTTGCACATCACCATGTCGTCCGAGTGCATGCTACCTATATTAAAGGAAGAGAGCTTGCCATGATCCTTGACCCGGTCGCGGATGGCGGAGACCTAGCAAGCTTCCTACAAAACTACCGTGACCAAGGCTTTTCCTGGCATAAAGATCTTACTAACAAGGAGAATCTTGCCCAGAACGATATTTTGCGCAAAGCTCCTTACTGTTTGGCTTCAGCCCTAGCCTTCATCCACAAACAGACTATCCGACACAAAGACATCAAGCCACAGAACATATTGATCCATCGGGGGCGCGTCATGTACACAGATTTTGGTCTTGCGTACGACTTTGGGGACGCCGGCCGAAGCACAACCACTGGATACCTACAAGGTATGACCAGACGATACTGCGCTCCTGAGGTCATCGAGTGTGGAAGTCGAAACTCAAAATCGGATGTCTTTTCTCTTGGATGTGTTTTCATCGAGATCTACTTAGCCCTGGCGGATGATGCTGAGCACGATCAGATATATCGAGGGCCCTACCATGAGGCTGTTGACTCTCATCCAAACGGCATACCGCTGCCTTGTTGCGCGTCATTCAAATCCCGAATTTTTGCGCTCCTGCGAGCAGCGGTTCCGACGATGATGCGGAGAGACCCGAGCTTGAGGCCCTCTGCCTGTGCAGTCGCCAACCTCATCTTCACTGATGAGAGCTTCAACAAAAGTCCTGACCTATGTCTGGAATGTAGTGAATTCTCTACCTCGGTCGATGACAACAAATTCCTTCGTCTGCTACCCGCCACCATCTAGCAAGCTCACTCGCACGAAGATAAGACGAGTGTCGACATCCAGATTTCCAGATTTTACAGGTGGGTATAGAGCTCCGCGTACTACAAGAGATCGAAACTCACTTAGTCTACATCAATCGATACGACGTCCATGCTGGCGAGTCGCCTGCTGGCGTTACTTGGCATGTGCGACACACCAGATGGATTTAGCATTGGATGCCAAGTGGCATGTAGAGATATTGATTCAACACCCAGGCCAACAGATTTATGATCATCGACTCTTTCTCTAGCTCTCTAGATCATCGGCATATCCTCCATACCCGGAAGAGCAGTCAGCCAGCCGTCATGTTCCTCATGCACACGGTTAGGTACAACACATTTGTTGCCATCAGCAGGCTGCTGTGTCTTCAAGCTACCGCAGTTGGCACCCATACAGCCCTTGGCGTCATCCATAGCCTTCTGAAGCGAGTCGTCCTTCCAGCCGAAGACGTAGTCTCCATGCTGTCCATATCCGGTGTTGTCTCCAGTAGAAAGGACGAAAGGCTGCGAGCCATCGGCGGGCCACTCAGCTTTGTTGTTGAATTTGCTAGTATCCCAGACGATCTACAACGAAGTCAGATTTGGTGTACTAGTGAGAGAGTCTTTGCGCTTACCTCGAGCATGACCTGCGGGATCTTCACCGGGTGTGTCGAAGGGCATGCGCCACCAGTACCAGTACCAGAGAAGAGAGCTGGACCATTGCTGGGGTATGCGACATGAGACTTGTGGTCCGGCGAGTCGAGATTTTTTCCGTCCCAGCATCTATCGATGGGTCAGTGACATACAATGGTGGGTGCTGCGAGGGATTTTACTTACGTTGGGTAGAGAATGTTGCTGCGTATGCCACCTGGGCAAGGTGTCGTAGGGAAGCCTTCAGTGTCGAGCCTTGATACGTTAGCATGTAGTTGAGTATAATGAAACGTACATCCTCACTTCGCATCCTGGCAAGGCGCAGCATTATCACCACCAAAGTTAGGCGCGTTGTAGCAGCGAAAGCAGGTCTGAGACTTCAAATTCTTGGACTTGCGGTTGGTGGCATCACCCACGAGCATGCGGAACCCCTGTGTTCTTTGTTAGAGACCAGATCTGCATAAGAATCGGTCTTGCTTACGGGCTTGAAGGCTGTGACTTGGCCTTTGCCACCGGAGACGTAGTAAACAACGAAGCCTCCAGTGGTCTTGCCAGTGTACTTGTCATTGAAGAGATCCCTATATCATATCAGTGCAAAGAACGACTGACCGTTGATTGGAATGATTACCTGTTGGGAATTTGAGGGACACGCTTATAGGTTCCGTTACGTGCCTTGAAGTACACGTTCGCGGTCCAGTAGTTGGAAAGCTGTCATCCACTCCGTCAGGCATTATCCCCGCGCATACATCTTCCCGTCCTGACTCACATCCTCAGAGTACCCGCAAGTAGTGCAAGTCGCCAGCTTGGAGATATCGGTTGATTGCATTGTGATGTTGAACGCGTTTCCTCCAACCACCTGATGCATATGTGGTGAAGGAGCTTGGCCAGGGTTTACGAGGGGATCGATCCGATCGATGACATTCTGAGCGCAGCCGAAACGCAACATAGTGAAGCCCTGGCCGCCAAAGCCTTGAGGCATAGCCTGCGCGAGGGCGGCGAGAAAGAGAGTCGAGAGAAGCATGATGACTGAGAGGTTGATTCACTGGAGGATGCAGAGATGGAGTAAAGAAGTACGGAAGGATGCAAGGAAGATGCAATGGCAGATAAAGTACTTCGAGAGATGTTCTATGCGGTGTTCACACGAGCCCGATGCGATCCAGACGTGGAATGTTTGCCATCCATCACCTTCGACGTTTGCTATACAACTGCCGACCCCATCTCTACCAAAGGATACATATTGGGGTTACCACAACTTAACCTACTGTGTACGTCCTCGTGGCATGAGGGTAATGTCGGCAGTTGCGGAACTAATTTGCTGATCCCGCATTCGGCTAAAGGCTTGAGATTGCTTGACCAACCCGACTGACGTTTCGCACGACAGGTGGTACCGGAGCACGGGGATCGACGTAGCGTCGTGGGGAAGCTGGGGCATATTGTAAATGAGAAGATGTGGATGGAAATGGGGTCATCAGAAAGGCCGGAGTGATGGAATGAGGCATGAATTGAACTGCACTTCGCGTCCTACTCTACCATTGCTGTCATACGCTGACATACCAGCCTCATGAGTCCAAAAACGAGTAGAGCTAAGCAGGTGCAGGGATTGAGTCTGCAACAGCCTTGATTCCAGCATTCCAGATGTCGCCCATCCGCGAGTAACCCGCAGCGTTCCTGTCAAACTGATTAGCTGATCATTTTCTCGTAGACTGTTACGCGGGTAGGATTCATTGCTTACGGATGCAAGTTATCGCCCAGCTCGCTGTTTGAGTTGAGTACATTCATATCGACAATCGAAACCTTTGATCCCTTGCTGACTCTGGCAGCAACGATAGCAGGCAACGCATTGTTGAAGGTCTTGATCGTAGCATTAAGGCCAGACTGCTTTGACGGGATAATCTTAGCCACGATAACAACCGCATTCGGAACTGCCTTCAAAACATCATCGATCAAAAGTCCAAGTCGTCTCGGCGCATCAGCATCAGGTTCTGAAGCAGGGTTTCCACGGTTCAGGTCGTTGGTGCCGGCATGGAGCAAGACGACGTTTGGCTTGAATGCCAGACCGCCGGCAACAACACCGCGGATCTGTGAGATCGTGTATCCGGGGAAGCCTTGGTTGTCTTTATCGGCCATCGTTCCAGACTGTTGCGTGCCGACGAAGTCGACGGTGTTACCGGAGGCCTTCAGGTCATTGAGCAGTTGCTGACGATATCCGTTCGTGCCAGCGCCATTCATATAACCCCAGGTGATTGAGTCACCTAGAGGCAAGATGCGGAGGTTGGTCGTCTTCCGCGCAACGAGCGCGTCGCGTGCTTCGTGGGGAAGACCATTGGCAAAGGATAAGACTACAGCGCATCAGCTGTATGTGTTCGTGATGCATGGGGCATACTTACAGAATGCGAGGATGGCCAACGGCAAAGCCAACCGGTTCATGATGTATGACAGCATGATGATCAGATATCGAGGTCTTGTCGAAAGCGCGAAAGGGACCGAGGTAGAGCGTCCTTTTCACCTAAACCATCTTGTCAATATACATGCGTCCCCTTCCCCAAAGGGCACACATGTTTTGAATTTCTCCGTCAGTTTGATGAAGCCGAGAAACTAGCGCACCCTGAGTTCCATCAATCTGCGACACATCTTGATGATATGAATTCTCCGTAGGCAAAAGTACGGCTAAGATCTGACAAAAATGACGTCATCCCATCCGGACGGTAGGCGACAAGTCGACTTCAGCGCGGGAGAAGCTGCTCATCAGCATCGTCGAATGGTGTCAACTGGTCTAAGATCTTCCGGACTTCTTTCTAACATTCTTTAGTGCTCTCTTTAGCCTCGGTTGCTTACCTTAATGTTGCGATGTGGATAGCAATTTGGCCATTGATGTTTGACCCTAAACCTCCCCGCATGCTAACGCCGCTGGGTTTAGCTCAAGCAATTGCGGAATTGTGCACCTGTCAATATCGCCTGGAATTCCTAGCCTCATTATCTCGCACGCCGACCGTGCGCTGCACGCCACAGTATTGAAGCTCCAAAGAGCCATTCCATTTAGCCCGTGGTGTACCCAAGGAAGCTATGGAGCTTCCGCCCTTCCAGTACCAGAGCTTGGCCGGGTCCAACCAGATCCGCCTTATCAATATCCTCTATCGCGAGCAAGAGTCGGCGATAGAACTTGAGCTCGAGCAGGTCGACTTAAACTCCGATCACAGATACGAGTGTTTGTCGTATGCGTGGGGACATGATGATTGTGGCCGATTCATTACGGTCAATGGCTCATCATTCCTGGTCAGCTCTACTTTGTATGTCGCGCTTGAGCATCTCAGGTACAGGTCGCAAGAGTGCAAGCTCTGGATTGATGCCATTTGCATCAATCAGGCCAACACTTCTGAGCGGAATAGTCAAGTCGCTATCATGAGGCAAATATACCGCAACGCAGCGCGCGTGATAATTTGGATTGGGCCAGCAACAGAATCGAGCGAACAGGCCATGGCATTCTTGAAGATAATGGCCACTGCTAAGAAAAATGAGGATCGGAACATCCAGAGAAACGGTGTCAGGGTAGCTAGTGATACGAGCTCAGAACTGGGTCCCGGACCGGATCAGTCACCTTGGAGTCTTGCTTCGGCTTCAGATCATAGCGTTGGGCAAGTGGATGTACCAGAAGAGAGATTGTGTTCGAGTTTTGAACCAGACAATAGAGCAACTTGCGGAGACGAGGATTCGGTCACCTCGTATGCTGCCTCGTTCGGTCGCGAAGCTACCAGTAGGTCACTGTCATTTCGCTCTACCAGCGCCTTGTGTGATGGTGGGAACCAATTCAGTGATTCTATACAATGGGAAAGGCTTAAGAGATACCTAGCATCGCTCTGTATGGCACTCAGACGGCGATATTCAAGGTATAAGGACTCTCGATTGAGCCGAAAAAGGTGGTCTGAGTTCGTAGACGCACACACTACCATGGAAGCTACGAAGAACGATTTCACCATCACAGGTTATCCTATACTATATAATATGTTCGGGAACCCTCACGAAGATTATTTCGAGAAGGAATGGGATTCCCACTGGCAGGCTGTCGATGAACTACTGGCGCGCCCTTGGTGGGGCCGGACCTGGATCGTACAGGAGGTATGGTGTGCTTCAGACGCAGTACTTCAATGCGGTGCTTCGAAGCTCAAGTGGAAGAGTTTCCAGAAGGCTATGGACTATGCTGAGGGATGGGACGATATGGGGGACCATGTAAAAGGCACTGAAAGGCAGTCGCAATGGGAGACCTTGCGGCGGCGCTATACGTTAGCGATACATCTTTCTAAAGCCAGAGTCAATGGCAGTACACTATCGTCACTGCTTTGGAACATCTGGGATCGCGAATCGACGGATCCAAGGGATAAGGTGTTTGCTGTATTGGGTCTGGTTGGTGAAACCAAAGATGGAGATTACACCATGGCACCAGACTATCGCAAGTCAATGGAACAGGTGTATCGAGAGATTGCGCGAGAAATCATAATCAAGGAGGGTCGAATGGACATCCTACTTGCGGCCAGCGGTGTCAATGGTAATGACCGATTACCATCGTGGGTGCCGGATTGGCGAAGCGAGGCTACCATGGGAAGGCCAATATTGCTGGTTAACCGCCAACTCTTGATGAAACTCGCATACTCTGGATCCATGAATATGGCCATATTAAAAGGGCATGGATACCTTGCGGCTGGCAGTTCGGAGGCGTTCGCTCAGTTCAGCGACGACCTGAAGGCACTTACGGTATTGAGTAAGAAGTGGGATAGTATTGCGGAAGTTTGCGATGCAGACATCACTGCGACGAGCAACGATGAATTCGTGGATCAGATTTGTGAGTTCATTCTCCGATCGAAGTTCATATCTAGCAGGAGACGACGGAGGGAGTTGACCAGAAGAGAGCACGCCACCGATTCTCAAGACACATCCATGCTGATGGCCACACTCACTGGTGGAGGAAGAATATGGTATGATGAGTACGCACCCACCATGCGAAACGTGATGCGGCAACGTCGGCTTTTTATAACAAAGAATGGCCGTATTGGGATCGGACCAGTAGATGCTCAGCCTCACGATGTGGTCTTCATCATCTCTGGCTGCAATTTTCCGATAACACTTCGACCACGCGAAGATATGTTCGGCGTCGTTGGCGAAGCCTATAGTAAGTTTCTGAAATAGCGTATTTCGAGAAAAGCTGGCTAATATAGCATGATGCAGTTCACGGATATATGAATGGTGAAGCTCTAGCTCGTCCATGGTACAAAATATGGATGCGAGTCTGGAAGAAGATCACATTAGTCTGAGATGAGCGGTTTCCAGCCAACCTCAGCTGGTTCATCTTCCCTGTTGAATGATCACGCATTATCCACTTCCCCTGTCCTTCTTCTTCCTATCCAAGTATTTATGTATGCGAGCATCCCCATTTCTAGCCTCTCCTGCTCTCGCATCCAGGATTCGCGGAATTTGGAACACACGTATCTCCCTGGCGTCACTCAAAAACTTTACTGACAGCGCTTAGAAAATCTCATCAAAAGGTTTGGACATCATAAGTTGCGGAACAAGACAGCCTCTACCACTACAAGGATATATCAAAGACCCATGCTTGGAGATGATTCAAGCGGCGATAAGTCGATGTTGCTTCAAAAAAGTATTCAACATTGCGCAATCAAAACTAAAATTGTGGTGTCTCACATGAAACCTCCATCTTCAACAGGCAGACGCGTAACTCGAAGCCTTCCCCAGTCGACCTACCTTGCTTAGATACCCCGGGAGACGTCACCAATGTTATTTCCGGGTTTGCTTTGAACATCACCCCTTTCCTAAGCTCCATGCTTGTAGGATTGAAAACCAGTATACCGGCATCATCGCCGAAATCCCATGTTATCCGGGAAACCTGCCTGCAAATCTCCTTGTCGATCTTGATGGCCTCGTCAATAATGTCAAGAAATTCCTGCTGGGAGTCCTCTAGGCCCTTCGATTGAAAAGGTCCAAGACAGGTGCTGATCTCATCTCGAAGTTCGTTTTTCCATTCTTGGACTTCGCAATCGGCTCGGGTACGTTTCTCTTCGTCCATCGAATCTAGCAAGAGACCAGTGGTTGTAGCTCTCCAGATGTTCACCTTTTTGATCCTATCGATCTCACTGGGAGATGTATGTACACCATCCAGACACGGTTCCAAATCCCGATGAATCGCCAGGAGGGGTGCCGATGCTGATCCCGCCCATCTAAATCTGGAGAAGACCTTGTGAACGATGACTCTCCATATAAAGGTTTGGATAATACTCGGACGGGTTTCTGAACAGTTGATATAGTCCAAGTAGCTATCCACCTTCATGGTAGACATCATGTCGTTCTTCCACAATTGATCTTCTTCGCATCTGGGGCGCTTGGGTAATTGTTCGGAGAAGTATTGAATGCCAAAATCTCGGACTTTATACCTCAGCTGCATGATCAAACCACACAGATAGTTGTCAGTGACTTGGTAAAAGCCTCGACCTTGAGCTCGAAGGCCATTGAGTTCCTTTGCAGCCTGTTTCCATCGCGACTTGATGTCTTTCAGCTCCGCGTCGTATTCCTTTCGTTTGGAGTCCCACTCAAGCCTTTCGGATTCCAGTTGCATTTTGTCGTTCTTTCGCTGCACGTCTTCAAATTCCAAGTGTTTGAAGGTATTCTTCAGTCTGATCAATTCTCCCTGCAGCTTGATATTCGTCTGAGCTAACCCCTGTTTTTGGTCCTCAAGATTTGCTAGTCGAGAGTCACTACGGATCAAGTCCTCTTCTGCTTTCTTTCTTCGTTCAATCTCCTCTTTGAGATTGATTATTGGAGTATCATTCCAGTGAGCTAGGTTGTCCATCTCGCCTCGTCCGCCTGACCAGCTCTTACGCTCGTACGCGTACGGGGTATTAACGTCATCGTCATCATGATCTCGTGTCGACCTTCTGATCGTGGTGCGTTCCCAGAACCGCCCTGTCGAGCCTTGCCTTGAGGAAGAAGATTGCGAACGTCGTCTAGTGTGTTCGTAGCTTCCATGAGATGTGCGAGTCTCACTGTGTACTGGTACAGATTGAACCCGCGCGACGTTTGTATTCGGTACTGATCTGTACTCAAGCTTTCGTGGTCGCTGCCTCTGGTGTGCAGGCGAACTCCTAGGTGGAGCGTCCGTCATTTCCACGTCGTGACCCTCCATGAAAGTCGGCTTTTGTCTCTCGAGAGGCCTTTCAGGTCTTCGAGGGTCGTAGCTTGTCATCATAGTCGGTGCTCAACTGAGAACTACGGATGACGACGTTAAGAGGGATTGTGTCGCTATCTTAGCAATGAGGGTAGCTGAATGACTTCTTGAAAGAAGTGTTTTTCGAAAAATCAGGATTCACCAGTGAAGGGTGGGACCTCTCTGCCTGCGGCACTTCTATGCGCCATGACAAGGCTAGGATATAGAAGCCACAACGCGCGTTGCTCCATATTATTATGATGAGCTAACGCAGTGTGAAACCGGTGAAGAATATCACGGTGGGAGAAATGCAGCTCTACCCAATATGAATACCCAGGAAGTGAATCCTTCACTCAGCCTTGTCCAGGTTCGGTGATGTGCAGCTCTACGGTATCAAGCTAGACCAAATCCGGCGTTTCAATCATCAGCCGTTTGCCCATGGTCATTCCTTTGTATCACCACAATAAAACGATAAGCGATATGGCTGATCGTGCAGCCAATGTTAGTCCTGGCAATGCATAAACTTCACAGCCACCAATATTTGTGGTTTCCTGGATGCAGGCCTCCATAACCATTCAAGGCACGAAGCTACTAATCATTTGAAACTGTTACAGTAAAGTCCGGTCAACTCCAAGCAGCCACTATTAGCCATCCCAGGAGAAGGCTGGTATCTCGTAATCTAGTGGCTGATTTGATACTTCTGATCGCCGACATCGTTTCCTAATCTTACACTTTGTCCATTGGGGGTGTGATACACACATCATCACAATCAAATTACTCCAGCCCGATATTGATACGACTTTATCATAGTCAAGCTGAAGTCCCAGATCTGAGCTCTTTTCACTTGTAATCAGCTTCCGAACTCTAGACACGTTGACCATCGCTTGTTGGCGCAAGGCTATCAAACTTTCCATACCTCATAACACAGGATGTCAATTTCAGAAGAACTCGCCAGGAGGCTGAGAATCACTGCAGATGAGGCTGACGATGATATACTAGTCATTGGCATTGACTTTGGCACAACGTAAGTCTGTCTCGTCATTTCCAAGACCCATAACACTGACCATATGATCTTCGCAGCTTTTCTGGTGTTGCCTGGGCCACTTTCGCCGATTTTGAGAGTGATCAAATTAACCTAATTACCACCTGGCCTGGTACCGGCAGGGAAGAGGGTAAAGTCCCGACTGAGCTTTTCTACGAGGATGATGAGATGATGTGGGGCTACGAGATACCAGTGGACGGTGATCCTATCCGTTGGTTCAAGCTCCTCTTGCTAAAAGAAGAAGATCTTGCTGAGGAGCTCCGCTCCTCTGAGTTCATTCTCAGGGGCCGTAAGATGCTGAAAGAAAACAACAAGACGGCAACTGAGTTGATCGCCGACTACTTTCGAGCCCTCAGTACATACTGCCTTGAGCAAATCAAAAAATCTCGCGGAGACTCGGTAGTGGATGCCCTGAGATTCCACATTGTCATCACCATTCCCGCCATCTGGAAAGGATATGCCAGACGGGGAATGGAAGAAGCAGCAAGAAAGTCTGGTATACTCGGACGACGGCCTGCTGGAGAAACAACTCTGAGCTTCGCGCCAGAACCCGAAGCGGCTGCTTTGTCAACCCTTTCTGAACCTGGTCGTAAATCTCAACAAGGCGATGTCTACATGATATGCGATGCTGGTGGTGGTACTATCGTGAGTGCAAAATTTCGCCGACGACTTACGTAACGTTTAACTAACTACAGCAGGACCTTATAACCTATGAAGTCAATTCACTCGATCCGATCAAGATGGGCGAAGCTGTCGAAGGCACCGGTATACTGCACAGACATACTTCGAGTAACGAAGAACAATGCTGACAGCTACCCAGGCGGTCTTTATGGAGGCATCTTCATCGATGAAGCTTTCGAAGCCATGTGCAAAGCTCGACTTGGTAGAAGATGGGACCGTTTAAGTAAGGCAGGCATCAAGGAGATCATGAAAGGTGAATGGGAACATGCTATCAAGCCTCAGTTCAGGCCCGGCAACAACGCGAAGGAATACATTGTTGGGATTCCGGCGGAAGCGTTCGGAAAGGCTAACCTAGACGACGAAAGCCGTGAGCCGATCATCAAGAAGGGGCGCATTCATTTCAAGAGGTCAGTACCATGCATGATATTCAGCACTCACATGTGATGACCAAACTCATCTACATAGTTCGAATATACAACAAGCATTCGCCTCCTCATTTGCTGGTATCGATCGTCTTGTAGACGAGCAGATCCGTAAGGCAGCACAGAAGGGATTGCCTATGACGGTGAGCGACAAAGGGGAATCTTTTCGATAGACGCTGGCTAAAACACGCCAGGGAATCATACTGGTTGGAGGGTTGGGTGCTAGTCCCTACCTTTACGACCATCTGAAGGCAAAGTATGCAAACGCCCAGATTAGCGTGCTACAATCAGGTGGCATGAAACCGTACGTCGCCTTTCAAGAAACCCACACGAAACTTGATATCTGGCTAATTGAATCATTAGTCGGACTGCGATCTGTCGTGGCGCAGTCTTCAAGGGTTTCCTCGATGGTGTATCCAACGGGGATCTCAGTACACCAAACGGTGGTATCTTGGAACCAAGGATCATGATCTCGTCGACAGTGTCAAGAGCGAGCTTTGGGATGACGTTCAGTGCCGTGTTCGATGCTGCGGAGCACCTCGAAGAAGACAAAATGTGGTGTGACAAGGAGCTCGTCTGGAACGCGAAGAATCAGATGAGTTGGTATCTCAAAAGGGTTTGCCTAACTCAATCTTCTTTTTGGAGTCCAGTCCCACTAATGTGATCAAGGGTGAAAATGTCTCCAAAAAGGATGCAGTCCGTCACGAATTCTACCAAGTTTATGAAAAAGACCCCGGGCGCAAGTTTTCAATCGCATTCCTCCAATGCGACGAGGTTGTAGCACCAGATCGGCGCATAGCAAGTGTGGTACCACTCTGCGAGTTGAATTGCATCATCAACAAGTCTTTTTCGGAATATGAAGATTACGTCAACCCCAAAGGCGTTAGAATGAAAAGATTCAGTTACGAAGTCGAAATGGTGCCTTCCGGAGCAACCGTGGAATTCGCTGTGTACCACGATGGAAAGAAACTGGGGACGCAGAACACGAATGTGAAATTCCAATGAGCGGTGCCAGATGTAGAACAGTAAAGCAGACAAGATGCTGTATTGAGCACTTAGTATGCTAATGGGTGTTTGCATCGACATAATTTGTAGATCTTTCCTGTCATAAATGTGTTTTGCTGTCACATGTTGCTAGAACATACGGGGAGTATGTCGAAATCTCAAGCTTCTTGTTCATACTACTGACAACACGTTTTGTTTCCCTAGCCCTAGCTAATCGATGTTTCAACTTGGGATTTTAGACAACAGCAATCCTTACATTTTCTCCGGTTTGAATCAGGATAGAGATGCGTGTTGCAGCCCTTACCGTGTACTTACGCTGTAGTCGGAAGTTCACCAAATCGGTACTGCGCCCAGCTGAGACTTACCTCAGGCATCGTCCAAAGCTGTTCACCCGAGCTATCACCCGCCGCACCAGCAGCGACATACATGGGCAGGATGTGGTCGAGTGTTGGATGCGCTTGTCTCCCATCACTGCGCTTCATAAGGTCCAGCAGGTTCTCCTTGCGTTCTTCTGGATTGGAAGTCACGGCATTCTTGAGTGCATCATCGAAGGTGGAGGAATAACTGCAAGGGATTAGTTGAGTCTTCCAACGAAAATTTGATCAGCTAAAGGTGCACAGAAATGACGTACGGCATAGTTTTACCCGATCCTCGAGACTTTCGGTAATCCTGTAGGTTGTGAACTGCCATTCCAGCACCTACGATCAGTATGCCTTCGTCGCGGAGACTCTGGAGCACCTCGCCCATGCGATAGTGGCGACCGATATCCTCGTTGTCAAAGAGGGAGACTTGGACGATCGGCACGTTCAGAGGGTTCTTGTTGGGATCGAACGCTGTAGCAACACGTTAGAATGGAAACAACCCCACCAATTACAACAAGGCAATCATACCGACAACAAAGCCTGCCCATACCCCATGATCAAGTCCTCGCTTCACCTTCTGCACCTCAATGCCGGCGCTGCCTAGCTTCTCGATAACCTTGTTCGCAAGTTCAGGACTGCCTTTGTTCGGAAACTTGTACTCGTAGTAGTGAGGTGGAAACCCGAAGAAATCATAGATGATATCAGTGTCCTCTGCGGCGTTGATCTGGATACGATTCGGGCTATCTTGCCAGTGTGCAGAGAAGACGACGATCGCTTTAGGCTTGACTTTGGTCGTAATCTCTCTACCAACCTCGCCCAACTTCGCGTAGGCAGGATGCTGCGTGTTTTCCATAAAGTTGGGTCCGCCGATGCTCAGGAAGTAGACTGGCATCCGTGAAGATGGGATAGTCGTAGTATTGGACATCTTGGGTGTCTTGGGAGGACTTTCTTGGATGGCGATGGTGATTTTGGTAGCACTTTCGTAGAGGAACGGGATGCAGAGGCTCACTATGAGGATGGTCAAGTATATGGGCGACAGCGCCAAGGGCATGTCTTGCTAGGCAATGCTGAGCTACCAAACGTCGCAGAACAAAAGTGATTGGGACTAGGCAATGAACTGGCAGTAGAGTAGGGGCATCGCCGAGACTATGATCGAGTGGGTACTAGCTGCCAATATCGACGACGTTGGACAACTGGAAAGACAACAATGTTTGCAGGTGAATGCACCTGGTTCTTGCAGGCAGGAACAGCATTCGGGGTCGTATGTCCTGCCGCTTCCGATATACTCAATGTCGTCTCGTGCGATTTGTATGGAAGACCGAGTACAAAATGCTGGTCCAACCGCGCGGTCGCTGTAAGGGCTTTCCCATTTCGGCTAGACGACAGACATTTACCTTCGACCCCCGTCACAACCGCGCGGCTTATGTAAGTATCTTCACGTGCAGCATGCATGATTGCGACGCACCCTGCTTGAATCACTGCACAACTTACTCATACCCGCCAAACTGGGTCGCGCGCGTTGCGAACTTCTGCCTGATGAGGTATGTTTCCCTCCCGCGCGGCATGCACTGGACATCTTATCGACCATGCCTAGGCGCCGACTCTTGACAGCTGCTTAATCTTTCCAGGCTCACCCGCGCGGCTTGTGGATCTTTTGTAATAGAACTTCTGACACTGAAGGAGACTCCGATATTGGTTCGCATCGTGGTTTCCGCGCGCGGTCGATCCCACCACTACGGCACCCAGTGTCCCCCGCGTTTTGCCGCCCAGCATCTCTTCGACTCGTACGACAGCACGAAGGCACAACCATGCTAGATCCTAGACAACGTGACAATAGCACAAGCACATTGACTGCAAACGGAAGCCATCTCTGTTCGCCATGCCTTTGCTTGACTCGCGTGTCCCGAGCGCACTTTCCAATTAGTATGATACCCTCGTTCTGGCTCCGAAAAGAAGGCAGAAACCGAAGACTCTTCTGATATAAAGACACTGCGCGTCGGCATTTTCAAGTACATGTCGCCCATCTCTTCCTTCGTCTCCAAACTCTTCTGTTTCGGAGCCAAGTCCAAATCTACCACAAGCACAATCTCAGAACCCTCTCCACAATCGTACCCCACTCACATCAGATACACAAAGATGGCTCCTGTGGTCCTCATCCTCGGCTCTGGTCCTCGCGTTGGTGCATCTGTTGCCCAGGCTTTCAAGAACAGCGGCTACAGCGTCGCTCTTGCGTCCCGTAAAGGCACCAACAGCGAGACCGAAGAGGGTTACTTCTCCATTGAAGCCGACTTTGCGTCTCCCTCCAGCCTCCCCGATGTCTTCTCTGCCGTCAAGTCGGAGTTTGGCTCTGCCCCAAGCGTCGTCATTTACAACGCTGCCGCCCTGACTCCTCCTTCGGACCCGACCTCTGTCCTATCCGTCTCCGCCGAGGCTGTCGCCAAGGACTTGAATATCAATGTTGTTAGCCCATACGTGGCGGCACAGCAGGCGCTCGCAGCCTGGGAGACACTTCCCGAAGACACCAAGAAGACCTTCATCTACACTGGCAACGCCCAGAACGAACTCATCATCCCCATACCACCCATGATGAACTTGGGCGTCGGCAAGGCTGCAAGCGCGTACTGGGTCGGTCTTGCTGACACGCTGTACAAGTCCAAAGGCTACCGGTAATCATCTCGAATACACGCATGTATGGTCTTGTCACTGACGTTTCGTATTTCAGATTCTTCTACGCCGATGAACGTCATCCTGATGGCAAGTTCAAGGGTATGGCGCTCGATGGCCCTGCCCACGGCGAGTACTATCCACAGTTGGCGCAGCACCCTGAGGGCGTGCCATGGCAGGCCACTTTCGTGAAAGGCCAGGGATATGCCTCTTTCAAGTGAGAATGTCACCGCTCTCTTGATTATTGAGGGATCATCCCCTCTGAAGTGAGCGAATCAAAGTACGGAAATCGGACGCGAGGCGTTGCGTAGGGGACGTGGTTGTCGGTCCTGTTACTCGTTCATTATACTGTTCGTAGTCAGCAGAATAATCCATGCTACCATCAAACGATCTGAACATGTGTCACACGTGTATGAAACGAGCTTTTCCGAGTGCCCGTAGATTGTGTTTGTATGTTCGTTGTCAAGAAGGGGGATTAGAACTGGCAACCAATCAAGTGGGTTCATGAAGTATGACATCACCTAGACTAACAACACCAAGTCTCCCTGACTCCTGAAACACGTCGCCAGATCCCTGATTTCCGTATCGCCTGCGCGCCTTTTTGACCACACACTCTCCATGACTTCCAATGCTTTACGAACCGTACCGAACACGCTCGGAGGTTGTAGTGCCTGAACCATTTCCCGCAATTGCGCTTCCTGCTCCGGCGCCGCCAGACAGCCCGCCACGCAGAACGGCCATACCATGGAGCGCAGCAACGCCGGGGGCACAATATGCTGCGTCAGCAGCTCAATGATCCCTCCAACGTGATATCGCACGTCCAAGCTCGCCGGCTGCCATCCCGACACAACGACAAACAAATACAAGAGTGCTGCGTGTGCCCAGATACGGGTCGCGAGGATAGTTTGGCGCGTGGGTGTTCTGCGTTGATGTCCAAAGTCTGAAGCGAACATCTCTAGCAAGCTCGACCCTTCATTGGAAGAGCCCATGGAGCCATTCTCAAGCTGCAAGATATGTTCTTCAACAGAGGCCTTTATGGCTGTGGCACGTCGGACCAGCTCCATAACGTCGAGGCTTCCTGCGTGATGGGATTGTTGCTTCCATGCATCGAGGGTGGCTATCTCGCCGACATAGAGGAGTGCCCAGTTTTGACACCCTACTGTTTCCTCGAGGTTGATGACGGCTTCGGAGCTACTGGGTGTATAGAGCAGGCTCCGATGATAGCTGTATAGGCGAGGCTGTCGTTGAAGAATTGTGGCCGCGATGATGTCGTCCAGGATAAGGAGGGCAGAAGAGAAGCGAAATGCTGCTTGTTCTGCGATGGGGGCTTGAAATTTCTCGGCTGGATCGATCAGTGTGGTGGGGTTTAGACGATCCAAGACTGCATTGAAGCTTGAGCTGGGACATACTGGTGTCATGGCGTCGACGCTCTCGAGAAGCTGCATGAAGAGTGCTAGTGCGGCGTTCAAGTGTGCCTGGCAGTTGTTGAAGCTCAGAATGGCTACTTCAAACCTTTGCACTTGCATAATGCTGGCTAGGATGCGTACCGTACCGTGCAAATGCTCCATCACGCCTGCGTCACTAATCACCTGTAGTGATAATCTCAGTACCTCGAACGCATCTCTTGTCTGCTCGAGAACCTTCTCCCAATTCGCTGCCCCTTGTGCCAGCGACAGGAAATAAGAGCTCTGGCATAAAAGTGCCTGCTTCACGACCGGACTGCTGATCATCATCTCCAGGAGCCATGTCCGGCCACCCTGCAGCAGCGACGGGCGGTAGAAAGGGAACAAGAACGGGAACAGATTTTCGAGGTAGAACATGACGAGGATCGCATCCGAACGTCCGATCGCCAAACGCTCTCGTGTCTCCTTGCCCGCGAGCGTGCAATCTGGGCCCCTCTGGCGCAACCTCGCCAACGAATGAGGAGTCGTTCCTGCGCTACCAACTAGCAAGTTGCACGTTAGAGACGCTGAA